TCAGGAGGCCCCAGCTTGGCTGCCCTCCCCAGCCCAGCCCAGCTGGCTGCAGACACCTGGTCAAGCGACCCCCCCTGCTCCCGCCACCACCCCCCTGTGCCTCCCATCTATCAGGGTCACTGAGGTTGGCGCTCTCCCATCTCCTGCTGCCTGAGGTCTGGGCTCAGGGCCACTTCTCACCCAGCTCCCAGGGTTAAACATTAGTGGGAGGTTATCAGGCAGGGGTCCGGGGGAGGGACCAGCTTCCCGCAGCTTCTCCTCAGCCCCGGCCTCTCCACCCCAGCCTCCAAGTCCCAGGCTCTGCAGCCCGGCCCCGCGGACAATGCCTGCAGAGGAGTTTGTGGCTGGCTGGGTCTCCGGTGAGATACTTTTCTTCTTTCTGCCACTTCATCCTCAGGGCTGGGGTGACACTGGAGCAGCCGAGGTCAAAGTCCTGGTTCCCCCAGGAACCTAGAGCCAGCTGTCAGAGGACCCACGGGGGGTGGGGGGTTGGGGGGTGGGGAGGGGGAAGGAGAGGAAGTTGTGGGTGGAGGGGGGTACTATTTCTGCAGCTTACCAACCACCACCTGGCATTTCCCAACCCCCCCCAAAAAAAACCCCAGAAGCCCTGGTGGCCCCTTGACTTGCAGCCCTGGGCTCTAGGCCCTGTTCTCCCCACTTGGGGCTCCGGGTGGAGCTTCCCTATGACCTCACCTGCTGCCCCTAGTTCCCCTTTGGCCTCTGCCCTACCTGGCAGAGGGCCCGCTGGGCCTCCTGTCCCAGCCTAAAAGAGTGACACCTCTCCAGGAAGAAGAGGGGACACTGAACCGCTGCCTCATGGTGCTGCCCTTCCCAGTCCTGGGCCAGCCTCTGCTGTGAAGGCCAGGCCACTCCCCCGGTACCCTGCAGCTTGCTTTGCGGGCACTCCCTGTCCTCTGGCTGGGACCTCACTCAGTAATGTAGCAGCTGAAGGCCCAGGGAGCTGAACATGAGCCAGGCCCCTAAGTTGATGGGGGCCTGAGTGTCTGCCCAGCCCAGGACCGTGGGTCTGTGTGGAGCCCACTAGCACAGTGCCTGGTGTGAGGAAGGCCAGATGGGGGGGCCGTGGAGGGGCTTGGGGAGTCTCAGTCCCACCGCATCCCTCACTCATAGCACCTTCTTGTTCCTGCAGGGGCTCTGGGCCTGGTCCTGGGACACCCCTTTGACACTATCAAGGTGAGTCCCAGGAGGCGCCAGAGCACCTGGCCTACACAGTGTGGGTGCGCAGGTAAGAACCCCCCAGCTCATGTGTCTGTCGCCGTCCAGGTGCGGCTCCAGTCCCAGAACAAGTACCGGGGCATCTTGGACTGCGCCAGCCAGATCTACCGTCACGAGTCGGTGAGCCCCGGGCCTTGGGGGGTGGGGGAGGGTCCTCCTGGGTGGGGAAGCCCCTGCCCTGGCTCCCCTGCAACCCCAGCAGCCGTGTCTGTCCCCACAGGTCCTGGGCTTCTTCAAGGGAATGAGCTTCCCCATCGCAAGCATTGCCCTGGTCAACTCCGTCCTGTTCGGGGTCTACAGCAATGTCCTGCTGGTGCTGACTGCCACCCCCTACCAGGAGCGGTGGACCCACCCTGCCATGTACACCGACATCTTTCTAGCGGGCTGCATGGGGGGCTTCGTGCAGGTGAGGGGGCCTCCGGCTGGGAGCTCTGAGCCCAGCCAGCTGCCCTGGCTCCTGGGGACACCTCAGTCTTAGTGGGTCCTCCCTGTTCTCAGCAGGCCCACAGGACAGT